TGCAACTTTATATGTACCCCCCCCCCTACCCGGCTGGCAGGGATGTGGCGGAGGCTGCTGCTGCTGCGCTGTACCGAAAGCGCCTCCCTCTTATCTCCCACGGAAGCGTTATCAACGCTCGCAGGCGTACAGGTGCCAGGTGATTTCCCCTGCGCGCGGGGGGGCAACAAACCCGGCCCCGGCACGTGTGAGAGGGGCGGCACAAAGTACATCAAATGTGTAACAAAAGTGTAAAGAAGTACAGCACCTCATTTTCTCTAAATGGAATGTATTTGGGCGAATATAACATGGCAAGTTTGTCCTTGTACCGGGTGTAACTGAGAATGCGCAACAGTGTTGCGGGATTGCATACCCGCCAGGGCTGCAGGGGCCATGGCGCCTTACGGGCTAACTGGGTAGGCAAACCCGCAACACTGTTGCGCATTCTCAGTTACACCCGGTACAACTGGCATTTTCCCCGTTGAGGGAAAATTATTTACCTCTTGGAAAAATGATTATTTTGTCCTACCCTAAGCTCAATAATAAGAGAGCTTATCGCAAAAATTGGCATAATTTGTGTGTGCACGCCCCCTTGCGGGGCTGAGGGGGAGCTTCATGTTCTGCAAGGAGGAAGAGGAATGCACACAGGAGCGGCGGCGGCGGGGCGTCTTAAATCAAACTGGAAAGTAGCGGCGGCGGCGCGCACATCGCAAGCGACATGAACGATACTTGTTTGATGGATGCGCGTCGTCGAGCCGGGGGAGCTCATTCGATCCATCTCTTAAATGGAGTGAGGTGATGGGGGGGGGTCGCTCCCACGAGGCTAAGCCCTGACCTGACCCAAGAGACCCGTCTCCGGTGGGCTGCGTGGCGCCGCGGCCCGGCCCAGCCCAGCGCGGCCCCCCGCCGGCACACTTCGGCAATCCTATTAATTAATTAATTACATCATTAGTTAACGAGCCTTATATATATATATTCCATTCTGAATGGTTCGCGCAGCGGTCGCCCAGTTTCACCCGCATCTGCTTCGCGTATGTGGGCGTGCGCCACGAAAAACCCTTTTTCGTCTCCATATAGCGAAATATTTTTGTTGTCCTCGTCGGCATGTGTTTCGTGCGTAACCGGGTATCTCGGCGGAGGGGAGCGAGACGTATAGACATACGCGCCTTTCCGACGTGTGTGACTAGTGGGCCAATCAGCAGGGTCCGGCCGATGTGAACGCGAATGTGAACTTGATTGGATCGTAAAATATATACACTGTCGAAGTAGTTCTAGAATAAAATATGTGAAAAAGCGGGCAACCGTGCCTTTACACGTTTTCCCCACGTTATTTTCGAAAGTGCCGGCGGCAGATTCCTTTAAGAGCGCACCGGGCGGGAACATTTATCACGAACCCTTTGACACCGCCCAAGAAAGACTTCGTGCTGTCCCCGACGAAACATACTAGTAAATTTCGTACAGCATTTGGGAAAAGAGGGGCACGCGAGTTGGTGTCGAAATCAATACACGTTTGGACTCGATAATGGCTGTCGTGTGATGGGTCGGCCATATAATAACGTCCTGGATGTCAACGACGACGATATCGGAAAGCGATGAAGTCGTTCCCGGCGCACATTACAAGGTGTAACACACGGCTCATCGCGTGGCTATGGACTGGACGCCGCCACGGCACGGCACTCGCCGCATAAATCACAACTAACAACGCCTCATTTAAATACCGTAAATAATGCGTCGCGGGTAGTGTCAACATTTTACGGGCTTGGCGCCACACGGGCGATGGGGAGTGAGGGAATTACACGCGACGGGAACCTGCCGCGTGGCGGCGCGGCGGGGGCGCCCCCGGAGCGGGCCGCGGGGAGAGTTGTTGTTCTTTCCGATCAAAAATGATGAAGCCAAAATAATAGTTGCAACTCAGCCGCGGCAGTCGCCGTGCCCCAGGGGGATGATACATTGCGGACAAGTCGAAGGGGCTTGTCGCCGCGCGGGAGACTCCTCGGGGGCAGCGCCACCGTATCCGACACGGCCCGCTTAGCGATACGACAAACAGGCGACAGGAGAAAAATATTGCGAGAAATTATGACGGAAGAGTGAAATATTACGCGACAAGCGATGACAGTGAGTCGTCTCCCTCCCCGCTCGGGTCGCGCGCGTTGCTGGCCGAGGTCCAGGACACGGCCTGCCCCCGGGCTGATGGAGTTGTCTCTCTTTCTCGCTGCCTCTCTCACTCGCTCTCACTCTCATTCATTAGTGGCGTGAGAGTGCGACGGAGACGGAGAACGGACGGAGCGATAAAGCGGAATTGAATCGGAGGCGCCAGAAGCAAGCCCATCCCTCCTCGTATCCGAGTCGATCGGTTGTTCGGTATTCCGAGCGATGAAGAGATGCGATTCGACGGCAGAGAGATATCGATATTATCGCCTTGTCATCCCCCTTGTGAATGCGTGTGTGATGTGTTGGCTTGTCGCAGGTCCGGGACTGGGCGTGTTTGTCGAGTCCCGAGGCTCCCGCGTCCACCAGTCCTGTCGTATCTCAGCCGATCCTCTCGAAACGGAACCTCCTGCGCCTCCTCCTGCCTGTCCTCCGCTGTCCTCCTTGATCGCCTGCTAGCTCAGCGCCCCTGCGCAAAGTCTCGCGCGCTCGGAGGCACCCCGCTGGGACCGCGAAGGTTAGGGCCTTCCTTGCCGGCGCCGGCGGCCCGCGCCGTTCAAAGGACTCGATGGCTCATCGCGGCCCGCGAGAGAGAGAGAGATATGGCCGCCTATGGGGTGTGTGACAGTGCGAGAGAGACAGCGCTATAAGTTAGGTTGCGGGTCCCCCGCCGGTCCCCGTGCGGCCCCAGCGTCATTCTCTGTCTCTCTTGCACACGCACGGCCGGCCGCCGCGCGGGTGCCAAGAAATTCCGCAAGGCGGCCGAGAGGACGCGAAGGAAAACACAACGACGAATCGTCGGTTAATAGGCTGTGAGGGGCGTCGTCGGGCACCTGCTCTAGATGGAGGCCTCGGCGGCGTGGCCGCGGGGAGGAGAGGCCTGCAGCCCGCAGTGCTAAAGGGGGAGGCGGGGCCGGGGCCGGGGCCTGCCATACGGCCATTCGATATGAATGGGAGCGCAGAGCGGAGGCAGCGCAGCCGTTTCCACAAAACCGCCGCACTTGACACACGAAAACGGGTTCCCAGGCCCGGAGAGTGACCCCCGCCCCGCCCCACACCGCCCCGCACCGGCCGCCGCGCTGCCCACGGACGGACAATGGTCTGCTTAACAAATTGGGCCCCTCCCCCTCTCTCGACCCCCTCCACCTTCCCCTCCTCCCCGGGTCCATATCTCCTCCAGCATCTCTTCCCCGCCCCTCCCTCTCACTCTGCCCCCCCCCCTTTCTCCCTTCTCTCTCTCTCTCTCTCTCTCTCTCTCTCTCCCTCCCTCCCTCTCTCCCATGGCGCTCCTCCCACAACCGGCTTCGCCGAGCGTAAAATAGTCAACACCTCGTTTCGCATTCGCGGCTCATTTTCAATCGCGTCGTCGATTTTTATTGCCTGGCCCGGCACTCCCGACACGTCCATCCGTACACGGCCACAGTCACACGTAGGGCCGTGGAGCTCGCGGGGCGGGGTTGGGCGGGGCGGGCGCGGTGACGGAGAGGTGCATTGTGACACCGGTGGCGCACTGCCGTCCATGGCTTTTTATCCTCTTTTTTATTATTTTTTATTTTCAGATGGAAAGATTTTTTCCGTAAAAGTGGCATATTGTACAGCAAAACTAAAACTGCGTCTGCAATATTTTTAATGTGTATCTCTGGTGAAGAACTGAATCCTAGGATTCAGTTTTGCTAGCTGCAGGTCATGATGCCACATGATGCCCGTCTCCGACGAGATCTTACGCGCGACTACGCGCTCTCTGTGTTGCAGCGCGTGGGGTGCGACGGCGTGGTGGGGTCCAGCGCGCGCCTTGACGCGTGCGGCGTGTGCGCGGGAGACAACTCGACCTGCAGGACCGTCTCGGGCATCTTCACAAGGCCGCAGCTGCCGCCGGGGCTCAACGTGGTGACGCTGCTGCCCCAGGGCGCCTGCAACCTCTCCATCGCGCAGCTCAGGCCGTCCAGGAACCTGCTAAGTGAGTGGGAGTGCGGCTCCACCCGAGTAGTATCTCACCGTATATCCGAGCGTACACCACCGTGTTCTGTTCGCGAGCGTCGCACTTCACTCGCCTCTTGTCCTTGTCGCAGGCCTGCGCCGGCTGGGTGGTGGCCTGGTGCTGCACGGCGGCCGCGGGGCGTCCTGGTCCGGCAGGTACGAGGCGGGCGGCACCCGCTTCACGTACAGCCAGGCCGACCACCTGAGGGGCGTCGGCGAGACGCTCACGGCTCCGGGGCCGCTGTCCGAGCCCCTGGAACTCCTGGTAAGTGATTGATTGTGCATAATCATGGACGCCGTATGAGGAGGATGGGGTAGAAAATTCTTTCTCACGATTCTGAACTTGGTGGTAAGATACAACCATTTGGAAGGCAATGGCAAAATGTATCCACGCAGGTAACCTTTGAATGGTGGGGAAACATGAACACCGAAGCATGATGTCAAAACGACAGCTTCTTTTAATCAACCCTTTGCACAATTACGCAACGTGAACTCGACCCTGAAATGTGACTTCACTGCAAGAAGAGCGAAGGGGCTGGGGAGGCACGCGACGCAGGGAGTTTTTGGGGACGGCGGCCGACGGCGGCGCGCGAGGGATGCTGTTTTGACTTTGCGAAATGCAGCACGGCGAGAGGTGATCTGTAATCGCGCTATGAGAGGTATGCGGCCGCTTTGGCGCTGGCCCGGTCATACTGTGGGGAGGGCTGTGTGGTGGTGGGGTGAGACGGGGTCACGGAGTGCTGCTCCGAGACTCCCGTCGTCGGCCGCCGCCGACGACGACGTCCTGGTGTCGGCGCATGTCGCATGCATCCTCATTCACTCTTGATTGTCGGCGTGTCGTCTGCTTGGCCTCACTCGCCGCCCGCCAGCCCGCCCGGTACACGACACACGCGCGGCGCGCACACAGCGCCGGCCTTGGGCCCCCCGGGCTCCCTGGGGGGTCCGTCTGCGGGCCGGCGGCAGGCCCGGTTGCACCTTCCGGCGGCCAGCCATAACGCGCCCTGAAGCACCCATGCAGCTCTGCAGCAATTGAATAGTCTTCATTCGTAGTTAGTGGCGGTGATACTGTACCGCATGACAGGCGTGCGTGCGTATTGCCTACTCAACGGGCGCCCGAACGCCGGGCGCCTAGGCAACACGCACGCACGCCTGTTGTGCTGTACAGTATCCGCCGGACGGCGGGCGGCGGCGCGCGCCGGTTTTCAACTCCAGCTGTGCGAGCGTGCAAGTATCCGTCGCATAATTTTTCCGCCGACTTGTGTTTGTCTTCAGCTGATGTATCAGCAGCCCAATCATGGCATCAAATACGAGTACGCGTTGCCGCTGTTGCGACGTGAGCTGGGAGCGGCGGGCGCGCCCCCCACTGCCCTGGCGCCACCCCTGCTGCCGCCCACCACCGCCGCGCCCATGGACAACGAGGTCGGCGACGACGCCTTCGCCCTGGACACCCGGCCCTCTATGGACTCGCCGGACGGCAGGGCGCAGCCGGGTCAGCGGTCCAAGGGACGGCGCTACGTGTGGAGGGTCACGGGGCTCACCGACTGCTCCAAGACATGCGGTGGCGGTGAGTTCTGTGGGAGCCACTTTAGGTCATTACTTTGCACATTCATATAGTTTTTTTTGTTTGATTAATTGCCTTTTCTATTACGCCTACAGGTACGCAGCAAGCTGTCATCCAGTGTGTCCGCGAGAACTCGCTGCTCCCCGTGTCGGAGAAGCGCTGCCAGGACCAGGACAAGCCCTCCTCGTACCCCGTGCGCTGCGGCACGCGGCCCTGCCCCGCCCAGTGGGTGGCTGGCGACTGGTCCGGCTGCTCGGTGACCTGCGGCTCGGGCACCCAGACGAGGGAGCAGAGCTGCCGGCAGGAGATCTCCTCCAACCTGGCCGTGAGGGTGGCCGACGGCGCCTGCCTCAGCCCCAAGCCCGAGATAGCCACGGTGCAGGTGTGCCGGCTGCCGGCGTGCAGCTCGTTGCACGCGCACCACCACCAGCACCACGGCCACCACCACCAGCACCACGTCGCGCACCCCCGGCCGCCGCCGCCGCCCCAGCTCGACCTGCAGCTGGAGAACGCGCCGGCGCCCGCCGCCCCCGCCCCGGCCGCGCCGGCGCCCGCGACGCCCGCCCCCGCCGCGAGCTGGTCGGTGGGGCCGTGGGGCCCATGCGCGGCCGAGTGCGGGCGGGGCGTGCGCAGCCGCAGCGTGTCGTGCCCGTCGGGCGAGTGCCGCCCCGAGGAGGAGCCGCCCCGACAGGAGGCCTGCGACGCGGGGCCCTGCACCACCGCCGCCATCGCGCACGTCTGGCTCGCCTCGGAGTGGTCCAGCCACGTGAGTACCGGCAGCGCTCGAATCAAGGGGTGGAGTACTTCTTAAACGGCCCTCAAAAATATGAAATGAGCACGAGCTCCAGGAGATAAAAGGCCGAGACATAAGTACCTTACCCATGACCCCGCTGCACGGTAGTGCACCGTCCTCACGCCCGCGGCTCGGGTCCCTGTTTGCAGTGCTCGGCCGAGTGCGGCACGGGCGTGCAGTCGCGCTCCGTCGTGTGCTCCGCGGGCCCCGGCACGGACCGGCCGCAGGCCGCGCTGAGCCCGGGCGCCGCCTGCGAGGCCCGCCTGCGGCCGCCGCACACGCGCGCCTGCTCCGCCGAGGCGGCCGCCTGCCGCGCCCAGTGGTTCGCGGCGCCCTGGGGGCCGTGCTCCGCCACGTGCGGCCAGGGCGTGCAGACCCGCGGCGTGGCCTGCGTGCTGTGGCAGCGCGGCCAGGGCCGCTACCAGGTGCAGGACGACGAGTACTGCGAGCCCCGCCAGCGCCCCGAGCTGCAGCAGCCGTGCGCGGAGCGCGCCTGCCCGCCGCACTGGTACGCCGGCGAGTGGAGCGAGGTGAGTCCAGGCCCAGGCAGGATCTCCGCGCCACTGTCCACCTACCTCCACCCACCTCTTGGTGCTGTTGCAGTGCTCCCGCTCGTGCGGCACGGGCGCCCAGAAGAGGGAAGTCCGTTGCGTCGGTCCCGCGGGGCCGTCTACGGCGTGCGCGGAGGGTGCCAAGCTGCCAACGAGGAAGGCGTGCCTCCTGCAGGACTGCTCTGGACCCAGGGCCCCGAGCCACGACCCTGGCCACGCCCCGCCGAGCGCTGATCAGGCTTCCCCACACTCTTTAGACGAACCTGCCGACTCCGGTAAAAACCTCTTTGACTGGAGTTTTATCATACGTACTACACTACGAAAAAATCTCTTATCAATTTATAACTTTTTCAGGGGTTGTCTGCGAAGACCGTTTACGCAACTGCCACCTCGTGGTTCAGGCACGGCTCTGCAAGTATTCGTATTATGGTACATCCTGTTGCAATTCATGTCGACGGAAGGGCGAGTAGAGTTTATGTGCGCTCCTGCCATGGTGGTTTAGCTTATCACTTTGCTGTATCTGGTTTTGCGTGGGTTCTGTGCTACAAATGCACTTACAAGAGAAGATATGCCACATGCCCAACAATTGATTATAACTCTTATCGTTTATATTTGGAGTTTGTCAATCGATTTTGTTCCATTTGAAGCGGAACAGAATCCCAATTATACAGAAGCTGAGGAGAAATCTATCTCCCAGTACCAGTACCAAAAGTGGTGCTCATTTCCAGGGCCAGATAATTTGAGTATTAAGGTATAAAATTTAATTCAGCCCCAGTTGTTCACTGGTTATCCTGGTCAAAATTTTGCCAAATGAAACTCATAATAAGAGTGTAGTTCAGAAAAAATGATTTAAAGTTATTGTGCTAAAATGGAAAAGAGGGGATGCGATGTAACGTGTTTCTCATGATTTGACTGTATTAGTATGTATAAAAGAAATAATTCCTATAGCAAATTAGTTGCTGCTGCTGCAGTTTTAAGTATTGGCTGAACATTTTATTATTATAATTTTACCGCAAGCATTTTATAAATTTATAAAGGTTGCTGTTATGCAAAGCTGCAAAGAACTAAAATCAAAATTTTAATATGAGACAGGCAATTTTCTAATGGGTATGCTGACACAAGATTTGTCATACCACCCACCTATGAGAGAGAGTGTCTCAAGGTGAAGGACATTTAATAATGCAGCTTGCAGCTTGTTTAGCACTGGCGAAGTTCTTGAGTTAATGCTAAATAAATATGTAGTTTAGAATCTAAGTTATTTTTTTTTGTTTTACTTACCTGCTGATAGTTTATAGAATGAGTAAGTCTGATTTGTACCCATGGTATATTGTTGTTGCTGTTAGGTAAGACATGAACTATTTCCTAACATTGCATTTTATCTGGTATCCACAAAATGTTGGTATTTTTTGTAAGAGGATTCTACTAATAATAATTAGGTCATCTCCACAAATGAATCCAAAGTGTTGCATTATTTTCAGTTTATTGCCTTGTACTTAGAAAATCTTAAATTAAATGTCAAATGAAACACTACGCGCAATTGCTTTGTAAATAATACGTGTAAACTTTCAAAATTTTAACTGTTAAATCATTTTATGTCACCACAAGACCAGTATTGTAAACAAACAAAAACAAAAAATAGAGGTTTGAGTGTAGAAAACATTACAAAGGAACATATAAAAATAAATGAAACTACTACCCTGTCATAATGAATGTTAAAAAACTTTTAAAATTTGATCAGCAACAATTTAAAAAAAAAGTGTTGGCCTCTAACTTTGGTATCAGAAGTCACTCATCTACTACTACCACTTACATGGATCACACTTGATATTTTCTGGATGCTTGACAAAAATGTCATTTCAGTTTTATATCTGCATGTTTCCCTTATCCTCTCCAGTTTCAAAGTCTTTGATAAAATTAAAATGAACTGGCTAGACCCATGGCAGTTTAGACATGTTACTACTCTTGACACTAAGGATCTACACTACACGCAAGCACAGTACACTTTCAGCCTCCCCATAAAAACATTTTCCTCATGAAATTGGGTCACAATAACATCCCTGTTCTTTGACATCATCAGTGACCTCAGGTTGATCAAATAGTGTTCTCATCGATCACTATAACGTCATTGTGATAAAAACATTTTCCATAGGACTGTACCAATCTCTTCAAATGGTCATGTTCATTTTACATTTCAAAAAACCTTGACATTAAAGAATAACTATCCTATCTCCAGCCAGCCTCCCCCAAAAAACATGTTTCAAGTGTACATAAAATATATGTATTTCATAACTTTAAAACTTGAGTTAAAATTACTCAAATATAATACAAATGTAGAATTTAATTAAACACAATTCATGAAACAATAAAACGGGCATTAAAAACATATCTAAAATAAAAATATTATAAAATCAGTCATCTCATCAGTCTTTGGTGGGTTATTCGTTATAAATATCTTTTAAAAGTGAATTATTCAAGATAGAATGAGTGCCGCTACTAAACGGTGCTGGTGGAAAAGATTTTGATGATTCAGACTTCTTTGGACTTGGATTTCTTCCCCTACCTGAAAAAAATAGGGAATCCAGCAGTGAAAGGGCTCCGAGAGAGCATCCTGTCTCCCTGTCTACACCTGAAGAATTGGAGTCGGAATTACATGGAGTTGGAACAACATGGGCATTCTTCACAGAAGGATGCCCATGCCCAGAGGGCTTATTACTTCTGTCTTCACCTGAAGAGTTGGAGTTGGAAGTACATGGAGTTGGAACAACATGGGCATTCTTCACAGAAGGATGCCCATGCCCAGAGGGCTTATTACTTCTGTCTTCACCTGAAGAGTTGGAGATGGAAGTACATGGAGTTGGAACAACATGGGCATTCTTCACAGAAGGATGCCCCTTGCCCAGAGGGCTTATTACTTCTAAATAAACCTTCCACAAAAGTGATTGCTTCTTCATTGACACTAGGCAAATTGGAGGAAATAATCTTGTTTTCTGGAGGAGCTGTTGCTTCACTGTCGACATTACCCAAGCAGCAAGAAACAGTCTTGTTTTCTAGAGACATTTTATCTTCTTTGCTGGGATTAGACAAGAAGGAAGAAACTGTCTTGTTTACAGGCGAATTGGAAGTATTTCTACTACCATCGGGAACAAGCAAATCGGTGGTACTTAAGGGTACCCTAAATCTCTTTCTTGCCGACATCCTGTCTCCAACCACAGGCTGATGTCTCTTCTGACTCTTCGCATACCTCTGTGAAAAAGTAGATTTTTCTTCTTTTGTAAATGACATAATTTTCAAGGCCAGTTGGTATGGGGTTAAAAACTCTTTCTCTGCTATTTTATTGAACTTTATCCTGCAAAATAGCAACATTATAAACACTGTGTTAATGATGTACAGAGTGTTGCGGGATTATTATTTATGTTTTTTTGCTCTACAAAAACATGCCTGCCTAATCATATTGTGTATGATATTATTCACCTGTTAGCTGTAGATGTAGTTGCAGCTGTTTCTGTGATAGTCTCCTAAAACACAAAGTAGTTTTCAAAACTTTACAAAAATATCCTTAGTTTGTTGAATGCATTAGAAATTTAAACAAACCTGGGTTTCTATGAAACAGTCAAATGCTGGTAAGTGTGAGTTTTTTCGTTTCTCCAACACATCTCTAACAGCACAGTCTGATACAAAATCTTCAACCACACTAGGACCTACAATGTCTTGATGTTCAAGAACATGTCTTACAACACCAGTCTCTGAGAACATAATAAACCAAACTATAAACTAGAACTTTTCTGACAATATGATTGACACACCCTGTAAAAACTCTTACCTTTTAATTTAGTGTTTATGTTGGTTACTTCATCTTCTTTCAAAAGCTCTTCATTCAGAGCTGTATCAACAAATTTGTCATAATCACCGACTCCTAAATCTTCCTCACATAGGTCGCTTAACCCACTCTTTCCACACAGTGTCCCTAGTGACATAAGTTAATAAATTAGTATTTGTTACAGTTAAATGAATAAAACATCAATTTTTTAAAAATTTAGATGCAGACCACTTTTACTTGCAGCAATTGGGCATTCAGAAATGAAAGCATTGGGGATTTCCTCTCCAAACTTTCCCTGGAGCTTACGAAGCAACCTTTCTTCTTGTTCCTGTTGTTTTGTAAGTATTTCCTCTGTGAGACTCCTAAAAGTTCGTCAAGACATTTGCATTAATTTCTTTATTTCTTGTGGAATGCATCTAAAATATAATAAGATTGACGCACCTGTCATTTTCACAAAAGGAAAATAGATTCTTTAGACCAAAGAGTTCACCATTGTACTTGGGATCTCCCTGTATACTATCAAAATACCTTCGCACATTTTTTTCAGTCAATAAGCCTGAGCCTCGCTGTTGTTTATAAACCTGGCGCCAATACACAAATTCTTCAATAGTAGATATAGTCAACAAACGGTAGACTCGTACATCACGTTGTTGGCCCAGCCTGTAAGCACTGCAATACCGTTGATGGTTTTGAGATCACATTGAACTATATATAGATACACAAGTAAGTACTTTGTTTTATAACTTACCGATCTTGAGCTTGTAAGTCGCTTGCAGGATTCCAGCTAGGGTCGAATATTATGACAACATTTGCACCAGTAATGTTCAATCCAACTCCTCCAGCTTTGGTTGATACCAAAAAAATTGCTTGGTCAGGTGATGTATTAAATGCTCTAACCATAGCACAGCGATCATCAGCAGGTGTAGATCCATCAAGACGACAATGTGTGTACCTGATGAAGAAAAACTTAGGGACTGCTTCTATAAAATGACACAGTACAATGACATATTTCATACCTTTCCTTGACTATGTGCTTCTGAATTAAATCAAGCAGTTTTAAGGAGGATGAAAAAATTAAAACTTTATCATTTTTTTCTAAAAATTGTGGCAGAAGTTTTGAGAGGACCTTTCAGAGAAAAAGAAAGGGGAAAAAGCAATTAAGTCTCTTCCACAGGAATTTTTTTTACAGACTCTTCACCAAGTGAGGATAATCTTCTTACCAGCATTTTACCTGACATGGTATTGTCAGACAGAGCATCTATCCACTTTTTTTGAGGAACATTTTCAAGGTTTGCAAATTTTTTCAAAGCTTCACAACAGATTTCATAAGAAGTTTTATTTGTTTCTCTTGACAGACCCGAAGCTAAAAGACCAACATGATTTGCTGTTTTCTGGAGCAGCGTTAAAAACTGGAAGATGAGGCGGTTTTGTTCCCTCCCAGCCTACATCAAAACAATTAAATCAATAAAGTACAATTCACTTAATACAGAATTCATGACATCACACAAACCTTTATGTTCCATCCATGAAGAAAATTTTGTATGAATGGAGATTTGGTTATCATTTGATAAATATTTCTTTGAATTTCTGTAGGTTCACAAAAGACTACCTGTGATTAGAAATCAATTTGGTGAGTGCTGGGAATGTAATAAAAGATAGTAATAGCAATGAGCAGAAGAAACGACAAGGGATGCTACCTGATCAGTTTTTGAAGGCAAGTGCTTGGCAAGAATTTCTTTTGTCCTACGAAGTATCGATTTATTCCGCACTTCTCGAAATCTACTACGGGCCCTTAGACTGTCAGTGGTCTCCCTTTTGGTTGCACTGTTTCTAAAGCCCTTTTCCATCAACCTTAGAGCCAAGAAAATAACAAAAACAATATTAGTAAAATATTAATGTCAGCATACATTCATTGGCTTCCTTGAAAGAAACAAGAAAAAGAAAACAGTACATAGGTCTGTTAAAATGGTACTTTTCACTCACCTTGAAATCGTATTGGTGTCAAATTCTTTAACAGATTGAGGATTTGACCATTTCAGAAGACAGTAAACTTCTTTTAAATTGTTCTGGAAATTCATTGGGAAAATTATTTTTCCAGGATCAGATGATGTTTACTAGTTGATGCAATAAGTGTCACGTTACCTGAAATGGGGTTCCTGTTAAACCATATCGAAGTTTGCATCTTAAAGACTGCAAAGCCATGGTGAGTTGGGAGTGACTATCTTTTATTCGATGTACTTCATCTACAATGACACAAGTCCAATCCACACAATTCAAGTAATCAATACTTAGACGTGCAGTGTCATGAGAGACTAGGAGCACATCATACTGTTTAAGCTTTGCTCTGGTCAGAAGATCCGATCTGGAAATAAATATTCAACAAATAGGTATTTAATAGTACATATTAACTGAGGATGTATCTCCAAAAATGGTTAAAATTTAAGATAAAATTATTAAAAAAGGTTTCAAAACATAAAAATGTTTACCTATTGTGAGCTGTCATTTTAAAACACTTAAAATAAGCCCATGTTGTCAGTTCCTCATGCCAATTCTCAATGAGGGATGCAGGGCATATGATGAGTACGGGATTTAATGATGGCACTTCAACACCAGGTGCAGAATCAAGTCTCACATAATCGGAGCAATGTCTGAGCTTATCCTCTTTCGTACCTATAGAATAATTTGCAACATAACATTAAGAGGTATTATGTTTTCAGGTACCAGCAATGTATCCAATTGAGAAACCAAAAATCTGTGCTGAGCTGTACTTTGAGCTCAGCACAATGCGCAAATCTGCATTCACAAAGAATAAAGGTGAAAGGTTTTGAAAGTGCATATCACATATGATTTACAAGACTGACACCGACTGCAACTTATTAAATGTCTTGTATCTAAAGTGTGACAAAGGTTGCCTTCTAAAGTTTTTCACGATGCTCAAAGAGCAGTGCAAATTTTGTTCCGTAATTGAATACATTAGAGATTACAGTTAGTATTAATAAATATTTCAAACCTTTCATGAGTAGAACAGCAGCTATGAATGCAATAGCTTGTATTGTTTTTCCAAGACCCATGTCATCGGCCAATATTCCTCCCTCACCGTCTTTAAACTTCTGATATAGAAATCGCACTCCATCTCGTTGGTAGTCACGAAGATACTGGGAAATTGAAGCTGGTACCTAGAATAGAAATGTTGTTCATTTTAAGAGGGAGGCAATTAAAGAGCGTACCCCTGTGCTTTTTAATCATTTTACACCTACCTGTATAATAGCTTTACTGTCTTCTGAACTTGAAAGAACTATTGGAAGTTTCTCTGAACAAGGATGGCAACTTAGACAAGGTCTTTCAAGGTCATCATCCATAGTTGCACGAGGTAAATTAAAAACAAACAAAAACAGCTACATTAAAACCTATCTTAACTCCATAAACAACCTTTTGCATGAACATGTTCAGACTTGTCTGCAGAGTAGCAGACACTTGTTTGGGTTCTGGCTGAGCCTGCAAATTTCTCATCTCAAAGTATTTTCATTTTATTGTTTTCGACGTTGAAACTGGAAAGGCGCGCAGATTTAAAATGTATAAGAATGTCCCAGAGCAGGCAGCTCAAAAGTAAACTAAGCGATGAAAAAGACTTATAGATAGACAAAGTTGTACTCCTACGCTGTATCGGGATCTAGCTCTAGTGGCCTCTAAGCTCTTTACAAAGTTGATTCACCCTCAAATTTAAATATTTCCCGCCTTTCTTCAGCTGTCAGCTAGAACAGTTGAAAGTGTGTTCTTCTCATATCATGTCGTCTGTAACATCCAAGAAGGAAGATGGGGTTATGTTGTTGAAGTAAACTGATTTCAAAAAAAAAGACAGCGTTTTCAAATTACACTAAGTTTTTGACAGTTATTTCAGTATGGCTTTACGAATTTGTAAGTACACGGATATGTCTTGCCATTGTTCCATTAATGTTACCAAGTCTTTTAGATGAAAAGGCACATGGACGAAAAGGGAGTAAATATATCTATCCCATTCTGTTATTTCTATTATTATTACGATTTTGTTGACATCAACGCAGTGATTACTTATTAGTCACTTAATTACTTTGCACGTTCTTGTTGAAGATATTATGTAACTTTCTACTCCAATCATTATTAACTCAGCCATATTAATTTTGCATCCATTTCTGCAACTTTCTACCCTCATACTACAAAGTAGATCCCATCTATGTCCTAAATGATTTTTATCTCTATTACAGTGCACGGTGAGTTCCTTTCACATCATGTTGGAGTCATGCACCATCTTTTAACACCAGAACGGCTGCTTTCGTCAGTTGCTGCTCGCCCTGCTCTTTCAACTTTGATTGACGGAAACATTAGCTCTGCAAATGAAACAAGCCCACCCAAAATTCTATCTCCTTTCCGCACTGGTGAAAGTGATCCAGTACGTACTGAACTATTTTTTTATTTTCACACATCGTATGAAAGAAGTTACATTTTTTCCTTGTTTACAGCAAAATCACTCTGAAAGTCAACTAGGCCGTCATTATACCATACCTGAAGATATAAAGCAGACAATATTCAAACATGGTGGCCTGCCCAAGAAATTTGATGAACTCACTCATGTTTTTACAGAAACAAGTATTATGGTTAGAAAACCATTCCTTGAAATAAAGGATTATGTAAAAAAAATAGATTTCAACAGGCCTGCGGTTAGATTTGTATTGTGTAAGTGGCACAGTTGTTTGTATATAATATATAAATGTATGATATTGTGTTTAGTAGTTTTACTTGTTATGATTTTCTATCTTACGGTACTTTCTGTGGCAGATGGGGAAACTGGTCAGGGAAAATCCATGACTCTGGCCCATGTTGTCCATTATGGGTTCAACGCAGGGTTTTTACTTGTACATGTACCTTGGGGTAAGAATGAATTATACTTTTAGTGGAACCTTGATTCCTGTTCAGCTTTTGAATGCTGTTACTCAGAAATTTAATATTATTTTGCAGTAAATTCCTTCATGAGAAAGTCTAAGGATATATCTCCATCAGAGTCAAAGCCAGGCATGTTAGATGTTCCCATAAATGCAGCTGCTTGGCTTGTGCATTTTAGGGCACAAAACCAACACCTCCTGCAAAAATTGGATGTAAGTATAATTGTTTTCTGACTGTTAATTACTGTTTTACTGTTTATGTATTTAACACAGTTCTTCATGTTACATTAATATAAATTCACATTGTAATATTTCTAGTTTAAAACATCGAAATCTTATCAATATGGTCCACGTGACACAATTGATGCTGGAGCTCCAATTGAAGAGCTTATCGAGTTCGGTGTGGGGCGTGCTAAATATGCTTGTGATGTTGTTGAAGACTTATTACGTGAAGTCAAAAGTGCATCCAACAGTGGCTTGTAAATCTCATTTCATTTACTTACTTTATGTTCATGACAACCCTAGTTTTTAATTCTTCATTTTTAAGTGAGAATCTGTTTGAATTGTTTTGGTAGGTTTAAAACTATGGTCGTAATTGATGGTTTTAATGGCCTGTTCTCACCATTTATGAAGACACTACGAATGAAAAAAAAGGTCATACATCAACGATGCACCTTAGCCTTACCCTTCTTGGAAATTTCTCGATTCGATTGGGTAAGTCTTGAATTTTCAAACAATTTAATTTAGTTTTCTTTTACTGATAATTTTTGTTTTGTTCCAGTGCAATGGTGTTGTGGTGCTGTCTGTTGATAAACATGCACACACTGATCCCTTTAATGCTGAAAGTGCACTTCCACTGTATCTCTTAGGAAAAGAGGTAAATACAGTGCAATGATTCAGGACTAATGAACTGTCTGAGTGTCTTTCTTGAGCTTTGTTAGTTGAATTTGTTGATATTATCATTGTTATGAACTTCAATAACTTTCTAACTTTACTTATAGGGCTGGGAGCACTTAGATCCATTCATTCCGATTAATGTTGAAGAGTACAATACTGCAGAAACAAATTCTGCATTAGATTACTACATTGATCGTCGATGGATTCAGCATCCAGGAGCTCAAAGTGAAAGTGGTCGTGCTGAACTCCGTGCTATGTGTGGAGGAAATGGTTTGGAACTTTTGAAACTCTGTGCCCCTCTTTAAGACTATAAGTAAGATATGTTTGTAATGCCATGTGTAGTGTTAAATAAATTGTACGTTTTGCACCAACACAGCCAGTGTTAATTGACCTTCAGTGCCAAGTAAGAGTACACTTCATAAATTTTTGCTTTTGTGTTAGTTTTATTTATAAAATAGTTCATCAGTGCAAGTTATTTATCCATACAGTTTCTTTAAAATATGGAAACCTGTACAACTTGACAGAAAAAAAAAACAAGAAAATATAAATTGTCACAATAATTAAGATACTGTAATACTAAGGATTCACAGGTCAGGTCATCTCAGTTAGTGTAGGCAAGATTGGAAGAGCAAGAACAAATAATCTGGTTTCTAAACTGCACTGGATACTTGGTTTAACATCTTTAAGCTCAGTTTACAGAAGTGGAAGAAAACCATTGATTCTAAAATATGAACAAAAGTAAGGTAGCATTAAATTTAAACCACACTATATATTCAAAGCATTTCTCACAACTCAAGACTAGTAAAGAAATAGCCAGATATACACCTACTGTAGACACTCCTGCTTCACAACCCGCAGAAGCTTCAAATTATTTTAATAAGAATAAAATGAAGCAACAAATATATTATCAATTTGTTCCTAGAGTAATATTACAGGAAGATAGATGCCCCTGCTTTTGTGTATCTTTTGAAAATGATATCAAAATACAGTAATAATTATAAACAAATGACAAGGCACATTGTTCATGATATTCCATGATGTTCGTCAATGGAAAACTTGTATTAACATGGTGACAACAAGCAACATTGATAGACAAATGTAAATGATAAATTGTCTAAAAATAAATATAGATTTTTGGTAAAAAGTAACAATACAGAATACAAATACAAGTTCAACTTTACAAACATGGTCAACCAGTAAAATGCAGTCTTTTGAATCCTAAAACTAGTGATTAATGGATAGATACAAATGTATTCCAAGTCTGGTTGGCTTTAAAAATTTCTGTCAAAACACCATGAATAACAACAATAAAAAGGGAATGGATATCTGATTGCTAAGCAAAATATTTCAGATGCATTGAAGATCTAAAGTGAGCCTCGCATGTTGTGAATGGTGTTGACTTCAAAACAATAAAAAACCAAATTTAGATCAAAACTTCACTGGAATAAATTGAATGCACCAAATAACAATAATTGATTTGAAATTCTTTTCATTGGCATTTCTCACTGGGTGAATTTCATATGCAAAAACCATAATTCATTCAATGGAAATACATTTGATTTTCTACATTTGATTGTAATTTAGCATCAGACTATATTTTGGCACTGACAGCTACAGGTTTCAGATCAGTCACAAAGTGATACTGAGCAGAAAAAAAGGAAGACCTGACCATCTTACACCTGCAGATATTATTAACAACCTCATCTAGCTTGCACAAGTAAAAGTTCTCAAACAAAATCCTAATAATTTACAAAAATTATTCAGTAAAACATTTCATCATTTTTGGCAATAATAATGTTTGCTTTTACAAATTCAAGTTTCACAAGCATAATGAAAATAAAGGATCATTGGGTTCGGTTTGGAGGAGCCCACCAGTCTATGAAACATAAAATCATGTGACTTAAGTGACTGGGAGTCTCAAGCATTGCCCAATGACCTGCTTCTGGTATGACCTCAAGAAATGAACGAGGAATAGTCTGAAAACATAAAGAAAGAGAAAAACATTGACTCCGGCAAATTGAAAAATAGAAAATAATACCACTAAATAATTTTTTTAAGAACTTAATACTTACACGTTCCATTTCACATTGTTGCACTAAAGTTATATGTTGATCCTTCATACCATGGACCAACAGTGTTGGTGCCACAATTCGACGGTGAAATGCAGCATCCCCCTCTGGCCAAACATGTCCCTGGGCAATATGATCAACAATATGGCGTGGAACACCACTTGCTTCGGGGGAGATAGGCTCCATTTGTTTTCCACAAACTGAGTAAACAACATCTCTGTGGGAAATCGAAATTAAGCACACATTAATAGTTAGGCACAGAATTTGTTTTGACTTGTTCTTATGTTTGAATAATCGCCATTGCCATTAGTAAAAGTTATGTCTACAAAATGATGGTGGCAAGAAAAATACCTTTTGAAACCACACATGAGAAGAGGTTCTAAACAAGCCTTTAGGCATGGAGACACAGATGGTGGGGTTCTTGGTGCAAGTGGAGTTGGTCCACCACCACTTATGAGAACAAGTTGAATGACCTGTTCTGATCTGTAGCGGGCAATAGCTGCAGCTATACTACACCTGAAAAAATAAAAAGGGAAATATATGCATATTTTTAAAACCAATTTTAGCATTGCTATACTCAAGTAGCAAAATTAATTTCATAACAGTCACCATGCACCTTTGAGGCTCCAACTTACCCGTAGCCATGCCCTAAAATAACTGCGGTTCTACCTTCAACAACAAAGCGATCAAAGATACACAGAAGATCTTGTAGGAATGCATGAAAAGTGTATAAATTAGCACTGTCTGGAGCAGATGACAGCCCATGACCAAGAAGGTCAGGAGCAACACACTCATAACCACCAAGTGCAAGGTGACTAATAAGATTACGCCATATTTCACAGTTACTGCCAGCTCCATGGATCAAAAGTAGCAGAGGTTTCTATAAATGACACAAGAAGTTGCAAAGTAAGTATCCATGATAAACACAAATTGCATGTATTCTAAACAAGTTTTTACCTTTAAGTGTGCCTTTGATCCACTTAGGCATGACTTGCGGTGTTTCTTTTTGACACCATTGTCATCTACAGAAGGCTTCATTATGTTCAAACTCTGTTTGTTACAGACATTTCCTTTTTTCAAAACATGTTGATCATTGGCATTGTAGTCCTGATGTTCCTTCGTGAATGAATCCTCCTGACTCATAGTGATTATTCTATTTGCAACAAGCTCATCATCACGGTTAATATGTTTATCCTCACTTGGGATCAAATTTAATGAGTCATTTGATGAAAGGAACACTGGATTTACATATCCACCAAATTCTTTACCAGACTCACCAATGGTTACTTTCACATCTTCTACAGATACATTATCACAGCAATTCGGTGAGTTGTTCTCATGTTTAAAAACTCTCAAGGGCTTATAAACAATGCCTTTGATTCCTGTTTTAATTTCCAAGCTCTTTGTGACTGCTTCAACTAAAATACCATGTGAAAGTTTTTCAGCAAAAATATCCAAATTTCTATTATATCTATTTTGTAAATCTAGTTGGTTGGTTTTAATTCCTGATTCAGACCTATTGGAATTTTCTTTGCTTTCTTCAAATTTAGGGTCCTTGAGATCAGGAATGGACTTAGTTTGGGATCTCCTGAAGGAGCAACTGCAAGAGTTCCTATTAAAGTTTGGTCGAAGTGGGCGGTTCCATCTCATGAACCAATAGTCTTCCCCAGAACTTTCCAAGCTGCAATAATCCACGGAATCAGCTTGACTATTAAACTTTGTCAGTATAGAATTGGTTGAATCTGGTAATACATGAAGAAGTCTTAGTCGCTTTTTTGAATCTACTACTATGTACTCAGGATCTGATGACTCAAAGGTGGTCGGGTGAACTCGGTGGTGTCCCCTTACACAAGGCAAACACCCAAAGAGCCATTGTACTCCTTGAGTAGCAACTTGTTGAGCCTGGTGAAGGTTCCCACACCAGGCACTACTTGTAGTGGATGCTTGCATATCTTCAGAATTTAATCATGTCCACACAAGGAATCATTTCAGGAAATAAGTGCCATATCTGCGAAACAACAAAAAGACCAATTAAAATGTTAGAAATAGATAAGCGGATTTCTTAACCACAGTAAGTATTAGAAAAAAAATAAGACTTAAAAAAAATACTCCTATTATAACAAAAATAATAAAACATATATAAAATACAGCTTAAAAACTAGAAATCAAATGTTCTTAAACATTAGTTTGTCAGAAAAAAATTCCAAAACAACATTGTAGGAAAAAAATCAACCCTTCAACAGCAACCATAATTATTTGTCATTCAAGATGCACACCTGTGGTAAATTGGGACTAAAAGCAGTTGAAGAAACTATAACCTGCACTTTCTTCTCCTAGTTACAAGAAAAACAGGACTATTTATTTGAAAATAAATAAATATGTAGACAAGTGATTGAAGACTTAAGGGTGCCAGGAAGCGATCATTTGCCAAACAAACCATAACGCCCACAGCTACTGCAGGTGCGTTGCATGGCACAGATTCATGATTCACTCATTATAACATCGTACAAGACGAGAGACCTGATATCTTGATGTTGACTTGCATCGATATCGTCCACTAGCGTCTGATCTGAGTTAAGAGACTGGATTGTCGGACACCAGAGTGAAATGGAAGACCCAAAGTACAAATGTTTACCTGCAATTACTTCAATTGTTGCTTCTGCTTTCACAACGCTACGGTAAATCGGGCATCGGCGGTGCATTTCAAAGGATTTGGGTGGGGATCATGTCGTAGATAGAGGAAGGGTAAGCGGGGGTGAAGGAAGGGGGTGCGGGCGAAAGGCAGGGGAATGTGGTATGAAAAATCGTGAGTGCGTCTGCGCGCAGTTCACAAACTTCAATTGACTAGCAAGCAAATCTTCAGTGTGTGTATAGTTTTCCAGAACACGCAGCAAGATGGATCCACAGTGGTATAATCAAGAACTTAGTACTGGTGTAAGTACATAATCTGAATACTTTCATTGGTGTAGCGTATGATCTAAATAACCAAATTGTTAATTGTGTTGACGCGAGAGGTTATGTGTCATTGCTGAATCATTTGTTGTAATGCTTATGAAACCAAACCAATTTTCGTTGTGTTTGCCTTTAAGATTTATTTTGATCATTTTCGTATTTGTGTTCTTCTTTATCATAATTTCATTTCTTACTAGTCAATCCCTGCTTGTAAATTTAAAGTATTACTGTTATCCCTAATTTTAATAAATCATCAAACTTGTCGATACAACACCTTGCTTCACAAGTTCTTTGCTTGGGCTTAATTGATTTTCATACTACCCCGGGTAGTTTTACGATTTAATTACTGATTCGTGGAATTGCTCATATGTATTATGAAGCTTACCTTATTGCCTGATATTAAACCTCACTTCATTGTTTCAGACATCAATCATGGCCGTTGAATTTGAGGGGGGTGTGGTTCTTGGTGCCGACTCTCGAACAACCACTGGGTAAGACTTTAAATCAAATCTATCTATTTTACAATTAATTTCTTTTGTATTTTTTTTTTGGTCATGTTATGCTTATTTTGTCTTCTTTATTCCAGTGTGTATATTGCTAACCGTGTAACGGACAAGCTCTGTCCCATATCCGAAAATATTTATTGCTGTCAGTCGGGATCTGCTGCTGATACTCAAGCAATTTGTGATATTGTTGCTTATCACCTTAAATTTCATCAGTAAGTTACATGTGTTTTTAATGATTTTCAACAAGTACATCTGTATGAGAATGATTCTAAACAGGTGAACCAAATCCCCTCATATTTATTGCATGTTTTGACTTTCAGAATGGAATTAGGAGAAGAACCAAGGGTTGAAGTTGCAGCTAAAATTATGCAAGAAATCTGTTATGAATACAGAGATTCTCTGATGGCAGACATCATCCTTTGTGGCTGGGACAAGTACAAAGGAGGACAGGTTTGAAGAACATAAGTTAATCTTCATCATCCCTGTGTCTGACATGTATTGTAAGTAATCAATAATCTTATTTTTATCTGGTTTGTAGGTTTTTGCCATTCCGCTTGGAGGAATGATAACAAGGCAATCTGTGTCAGTAGGTGGCTCTGGAAGTACTTATGTATATGGCAATGTGGATGCAGGTTACAAACCAAATATGACCAAAGAGGAGGGCTTAAAATTTGTTACTGAGAGTAAGTATTTCCTTTTAAATGTATTCAAATCAATTGAATTCACTATTTTGGTAAACCACCTGTTTCTTCCTCCCCAAAATTATTATGGTCTTTCTTTTTGTTATCTGTATTTTTCTAATCTGCAGCTTTAAGTTGTGCAATGGCTCGTGATGGATCCAGTGGCGGTGTTATTCGCTTGGCAGTCATCACCAAAGCAGGGGTTGAGAGGCATGTTGTGTTGGGTGAACAGCTCCCACGCTTCTACGAAGGCTAATGTAAATTGTAAGCATACTCTACATCATATTACTAACATTGAAATTAAGTAAAGGATTGGTTCAATAAATTTTATAACTAATTGAATTGTTCCAATTGAAGAATTATTTATTTTTCACAATTTCTATTGAAATTATTACAGTGATCTCATTTAATTGAGCTATGAAGGTGAAATCAATGAATGAAATGGGGGAAAAATAAAAACACTGAATGTTTCCTGAACTGAATAATCTTACACTGAGTATCTTTATGCTTGGTCCCACATGGTAGCAGACCTAATGAAAATCAAAGCAGAACTATTTTCATAAATGTACAATATATTGACTCATCATGCATACACACACAAAGACACGCTCGCACTCTCTCACTGACACACTCGCACAACCTGGAAAAATATACACACATAAGATTGTGATTAACAGATTATAAATAGAGAAATCAAGTGAGGTAGCAGTGATGCATTGATATGGCTTTCATCAATCAAGGAGCTACCCATTTTTTTCTTTTAAATCCAACCCCGCTGAAGACATTGGAGTCCATCTTTGGCTCGGTTGGCCGCCGGCCGGGCCTCACACCACTCCGCCGGGGGTGGACATCCTCCTGGTGACGGTGTGGATCTCACGATCCTGAAGGTACTGCCGGATCTCGGTCGGCGTCTTGCCCTGCGTCTCGGGCACGAGCGTGAGCACGAACAGGGTGCCCAGGATGCAGATGGCGCAGAAGATGCCGAAGGTGGCCGCCTCGCCGATGTTGTTGAGGAGCAGGTTGAAGACGCGCACCACCACGAACATGAGGCTCCAGTTGACGCAGGTAGCCAGGCCGCAACCCCAGGACCGCGCCTCCAGCGGCAGGAACTCGGCCATCATGAGGAAGGGCAGCGGGCCGAAGCCAATGCAGTACACGAACACGAAGGCCGACAGGCAGCTGATGGGTAGCCAGCTGAAGGCGTTGAGGTCAACCTGGGGGCGGAGGCAGTGGAACATGAACAACGTGCGGCGCACAGTAGGCCGCCCGCCCAACAGGCGTGCGTGGCGGCCGGTCTATCCCACGAGCGTGCGGCGCGCAGGAGGCCCGCTCCTCGCCTGCTGGCGGCGCAATTGCTTACCTCGAGCTCTTTGTGGAAGAGGAAGTAGACGAGCAGGGCGGCTAGCGAGGCAGCCATGAGAGAGCCGGAGACCCCGAGCAGCAGCCGGCGACCCGCCCTCTCCACCAACAGCGCAGCCACCAGGGTGGCGGCCACCTGCACCACGCCCACCACTATGGACGAGGTCGTGGGGTCCAGCGAGCTGGCTGACTCTGCAACAGGACGAGGTCAGCCGGTGAGGAGGGACGTTTTGAACGGTTCTGCAGACTGATGACTGTGTGTTTGACTTACTCTGAAAGATGGTCTGCAGGAAGAAGATGATGGCGTCGATTCCGGACAGCTGTTGCAGGGCCATGAGGACGACGACCAGCACCACAGCCCTTGAGGTTGGCGACGCGCCACCCTTCCCGCACAGGCCTCGCACCGCGCCGAGGATGCCGCCGGATGCACGCTCCCGCTCCTCGGACTCCACGGCCAGGCGGGTCATGGCGTCCAGCTCGCTCGTGACGTCGCCGCGCGGTCCGTTTTGGCCTGTGGACTCCCAACTCCGTCAGCACGCCGTCAACGCGCCCCGCCGCGCCCGCGGCCCGGCACTCCACTCACCTTTGGGCGGGGGCGCACTGGAGCCCGTCCGCAGCCATCGCAGTGCCTCCTCGGCCTCGGCGCGGCGACCCTTCACCACCAGGAACTGCGGGGACTCGGGCATGAAGAAGAACACGGCGGCGGCGAAGATGGACAGCGCGCCGCACAGCCCCGACAGCACCGTCTGTCCGCCCCATCCGCCCACGATGTACCTGCAGTGGGCACGGGGCACACGGGCGTCATGGCGTGGCCGCCGAGCGGTGCGGTCCGGGACCTGGCTCGCCCTGTCTGTACTCACGCCAGGAGGATGCCGACGGTGAGGCTGAGGTCCAGGTACACGCCGACCGTGCCCCGGGTCACGGAGTCGGCGATCTCGGACGAGTACATCGGCACGAGCACCGTGGCCGCGCCGGCGCAGAGCCCCGTGAGCAGTCGGCCGGCGTAGAGCATGTCGACCTTCTCGGCGAGCGCCTCCTCCACGTTGTTGCCCACGGCCACGAGCACGCCCCAGCCCGCCAGGTTGGGCAGGATGAGGGCCAGGATGAGGGTCCTGCGGCCGGCCGAGTTGGCCGCCCAGCCCGCCAGCGCTGCGCCGACGAGCGCGCCCAGCGGCGCCAGGGACGCCACCCAGGACCCGATCGGTCCCAGGATGTGCACGCGGCCCAGGATGGGCGAGGTCCAGCCCAGGACGGCGCCGCCGACCAGGGACGTGAGGGTCGCTGTGGACAAGAATGACCGCAGGGGGGAACTTAATCACTTCATCTCTCCCGCTAATTAATAGGTAAGGAATTCCTAGACGCTCCTATTTCTCTCTGTTTTTTTTGGGAGTGTGGGTGCGCTAGGCGGACGCAGTGTGGTGGTGGCGTCACGGCACGTCGTCTGCCACACTGCGCCGCGCCGCGCCACGCCTCGCCGTGGCACCGTGTGCCACTCATTACTCTGCAAAGAGTCGCGGCCCGGCCCGGGGCACTCGCGGCACAATGTAGCGTGTCACTTCGGAAATGGGACACTGCTACTATGCGACAAAAAAAAATAGTGGCTGAGAAAATATCTACGAACAGATACTTGGACCACTTTTCATTCATTTTTATCACAGTATTTTTCATTCATCAGAGGAATGCGTTTAGTTTCTTAGACAGTTCCCTAAGAGACTGTCTCTACCAGAAGGCAAAGTCTCCGTTTTTCTCGTCATTGACCGTTTTGAAGAGTGGGAATCGTCAAAAAATTGTCAGTACGGGACAGCAAAACAGAAAATGAGAAAAAAGAATTGTCTTTGCGTGTGCGAGAGTGTGGCGTGCGCGTGTGCGAGCAGCGGCGAGCCTGTTTGTGCAGGGAATTCCCGTCGCTCCGGCGGCGCCAAGTGATGCCTGCTGGTGGCCGACGTGTATCGCTTGGGATGCGATGCGGGAAATGAAGATCGATACGTTTTCGAGCCGCGATACGTCCGAGTCGATCAACACGCGCTGCCGCACACGCCTATCGACTTGGCACTCCCCACTATGTGGGTGGGGCTGCGACGACTTAAAATAGAAGCAGACTGGAAGCGGTGCAGTGATGCACTCCTTTCACCCGCAAGGTGTTACATTCTATAACAATTCTCCCCCGCCCCGCCCACGCTCCTTTCCGCACCTCGCTGGCCTACTGATGCACGGCCAAGGACGCGCGAGCCGCGAGCCTTTGTGGTGGGTGCACCCGGGTGGCGGCCGCCACGGATATGGAGAGAGGAATGGGGAGGGGAGAGAAAAATGCAAAGTTTGGTCGTGTTTAGCGCGGCGCTGGGGCTAGCCGGGGCCGGGCGCCGGCGCGGACCTCCGCCGCCCTCGCGGATGCGGTATGCGCGGTGTGCGCCACAATCGTTTGCCGCGATTGTAAGCCCCCCGTGTCGTCGCCTGTCAAGTTGCAGTCCGGAGCCTTCGCGCCACGCCGGGCCCGTCTGTACACAGCTGCAGCTGGTGGTGGACGTTACTGAGAACAGCGTCAGCCGAAAGCCTCTGTGCGAACAACACAAGTGCGAGAGCGTCGCACACTTGTAGGTGTGCACACGCCTACAAGTGTGTAACGTTATCCACACACCGGGGTTTCCTAAGTTCCACCGCACCGCACATCTGATGCCGAGACGAAACGAGATGTCGATGGACAAAGTATACGACGAGCCGTCAACAAGTGAGGTTTATTTCGCGGTTCCAGGACGGGAGAGGAGACTGCGGGTGGGCGGGGCAGGGCGGGGCAGGAGGAGGCGCAACTGTGGGGGGGCTTTTCCGTCTTGTACACCCGCGAGAGGCTGTGGTGTGGCGCCTCGCTCTCCGCCTGCTCGTGCTGGCTCCCGCCGTGCCGTAGGGTTTGTCACGTTCGCCTCCAGATAACACGTCTGTGACTTCCTGCCCCCCCCCCTGGGGTCCAGCGAGCTGGCTGACTCTGCAACAGGACGAGGACAACCGGTGAGGAGGGAAGTTTGAGCGGTACTGCAGACCGACGACTGTGTGTTT